TACTCTTTTGTTGTTCAGTCACTAAGTCGAGTCTGACTCTTTGAGACCCCAAGGACTGCAGCATTCCAGGCTTCCCTTGACCTTCACTATTTCCCTGAATTTGCTCAAACTCATGTTCATTGAGTCAGTGATGCCATCCAACCATCTCCTCCTCTATCGCCCTCTTCTCCTCCTACCCTCAACCTTTCCCAGCATCAGAGTCTTTTCCAATGAGTTGGCTCTTCGCATCAAGTGGCCAAAGTATTGGAGCTTCAGCTTCAGCATCAATCCTTCCAGTGAATATTCAGGGTTCATTTCCTTTAGGATTAACTGGTTTGATCTACTCTTTTAGCAACTTTCAACTATATTATATACCAATGAACTTCTCATACTGTTACAGTAAAATACACTAGATTATTTTGAATTTTGGTGGATCTTTTACTCATGCATGGTTGTCAACACATGTATTAGTCAATTTGAAATTACTGGTTCACTGAATTGTGAAGATCTTTCAAATGTTGACACATTTCATATTCATTAATGTCGCTACCAATCTCATCAGGAAAATCTTTTAGTGGGAAATCATTAAGCTCACAGTAGCAAATAAAAGTTTTCCAAACTTCTAATTTCCAACCAAAATATCAAATCTCTTTGGCAACAAATACTGTTAGTTGTCTTCCTTGAAGTGACAGGTGCCCTTTGTTCCTTTTAGAGGAACAACTGCCAAGTCCCCAAGTCTGAATAATAGTTTATTTATTGGTTATACTTTTTGGTAGGAATGAAGTTTATGAGTAAAGAGCTAGTTCAGCTCGCAAGTCATCATTTATGTGCTTTTCCTGGAGAAAGGCATTGTATCTTGATACGCAGCAGAACTGCTTAAGCCTACTTCCAGTTTGACGCACTTAACATTTAAAAGATATGTGCTCAGTGGTTGAGCTTCAATACAATCAGCAACTTCTACTGCAGTTTGGTGCCACTTCCTTGACTGTACTAAGATGCTGTCGGTTTTACCCATCATTGCTTTTGCAGGTTCATGGAAAATGTCAACACCTTGAAAAAGACAAATGATGGTTCAGTGAACATGATCGCACGGGGATCCCATGAAAGGATCTCAGGGACTCTCAAACTTCATGGATCCACATTGAGAACTGCTGTCGCAGAGAAATTGTTGCAAATATAAACTGGGTAACATAGGTCAAGAATGTTCATTGCAGCACTATTTGTACAAGCAAAAGCCCAGAAATAACCTTCACTTTTATCAATGAGGAAATGGGCAGACTGTTGGTATACTCATATTAAATACAATAATCTACCACACAGTAGGGCTTCCCAGGTGGTACAGTGGCTAAAGAATCCTCCTGCCATGCAGGAGATGCAAGAAACTTGGGTTCAATCACTGGGTTGGGAAGATCCCCTGGAGAAGGAAATGGCAACCTCTTCCAGTATTCTTGTCTGGAAAATTCCATGAACAGAAGAGCCTGGCAGGTTACAGTCCATGGGGTTGCAAAGAGTCAGATACGACTGACCACACACACACAACCCCACACACACCACAGTGTAGGATGAACATACTAAAGTTCTATCAATCAGTAGGGATAAATTTCACTGTCTTAATTTGCACTCCACAAAATCAGGGTGTGAGACAAATTCTGCAGTTCAGGAGTGTATTTTGGTGGTGATCCCAGGAATCAGAAATAGTGAGTGAGAAGAAAAGGAAGACAAACCAATAATACGTGCATTACTGAGTTACCGATAATGGTGGGGATTGTCCTCCTTCCCGTCAAGCGGAGCTCCTTGAGGAATTGTGTAGAATACAGCTTAGAACTGTTCCTCTGGAGATGTGGGGCTGGACCATTTTCCACTGACTTCCACCCTTGACCGTCCAAGCCCCCTAGACCCCCTGGGGCATTCATTAACTTTACTGAACTCCTAAGCTACGCACAGGCTGAACAGCCTTCTCAAGTTTGTAAAGACTCCCAGCTCAGTAGGCAAAGAACTGCTATGGCCTGTGAGGGGGAATGCTGGCAGCTTGCCTGCAAGTCTAACTCAGCTACCCTGAAATTGAGTGGGCTGAGGGGACATGGTGTGAGCTACCGTAGGTGCTGCTAGACTCAGAAACTAATGTGGAGTGAAAAAGGAAAATCACAGGAACTCATGTACAACGTGCTCCATCTTTGTAAAGTTCAAAAATACATAAAAGTATATAATGCATGGGTAAGAAGACAATTATGTATATTATGAACATAAAATTATGGATGTTCTGGGAGCAAGATAGGCGGGAAAGGGTTTATCACATATTGGGGGACAGTCAGCAGGTTTGTCAGAAAGCACATGTCAGAGTGCATTTGGAGATAAAAGTAGCGAGTTAAAGAAGGTGGCTAATTGATGGGTGTCTGAGGCCAGTCTTCAATTTGACTCTGATTTGGAAAGTAAAAAGGAGCAAGCTTTTCAGCATGGGTGTGATCGGAGCAAAACGTGTCAAAGCAATCAGCGTGCTTGAATGGGAGCGGGAGCTGAGGGGCAGAGGTCCCTTACCTGGCGGCGCTGGGAGGCTTTCCTGCTTTTGGGAACCTTCTCTTGCTCTGTTCCTTTATCAGGGGCAGACAGGCAGGGCGTGGCTTGTTGGTGCTTAGGAACAGCTGGAAGAGAGTCTGTGTGGCAGAGGGAGCTCTGGCTGAGAGCTTCAGGCCTTAGAATAAAAGACAAACTTTTCCCAGGCCCACCTCCGGAGTCCTTCCTGCTGCTCTGCCTGATGCCTGGTCTCCCTGAACGGGCGGAGGGTGTTCCCAACTTAGAGACTCCAGTGAAGCCAGTGAGGGACAAAGGGCCCCCGATGCCAAAGGTGGTGAGTCCTCCTTCCTCTCCCCTCTCTTCATTCTTTTCAGTTCTGTGACTTTCTCGGGATCCTCAGGTTCATTGGAGAAGCTATCTCCTTTCTCCATATTCACAAGAACATTTTAGAGGATAAAATGGGGAAATGAGGAACACAAAAGGGGACAAGTAACAAGGGAACCGAATGGGTTGTGTCAAAAGACTCTCCTTTAGGTATTACTGTCATTGTTGTTAAGTATGACAGCTAACACTTACTTAGCCCTTACTCTTAGCCAGGTCCTGGCTGTGTGCTTTCAGACTGAACATCTGTATATAATGCAGAGTCTTCTTAAGCTGCTTGGACTTATCAAGGGAGCTTTGGTTGCATGTTTTTTTCTGATTTAGAAGTTTTTGAAGTTAAACTGCTTCAAACTTAAGGATGAATGATTTCCTGTGGGGGAAAATATTTCCACCTGTATAATAGAAAAAAAATTGTTATTATATGAAGAATTTTATTGTTTAAAGAAACCATTTAAGAGACAAATGTCCAAATAGAAAAATGGACAAAGTATAAAGACAGGTAATTGACAAAGTTCAGATGACAAAGGAATAATCAAAGAAGTACAAATTAAAATGACACATCATTATTTTTAATGAGATACCATTTTCTTACTCATTAAAGTGACAAAGAATAAAAAAATAAATAAAACCCAGTGATGGCAGGATTGTGGAAAAACAGTTTCATACACTTTGGTAAATTGATATGACTTCTCTGGAGGGTAATTTGGCAGTGCAAGTTAAAAGTCTCATTATTTTAAAGATGGGAAACTCAAGGCCTAAGATTTTGTGATTTCCTTAAAGTTACAAAGTCACATAGTTAGGGACCAAACTAAGACTAAGACTAGGCCTTATAACCTGACCTTTAATCCACAGTCAGTTGTAGCGAAGCTTATAATAGAAATGCACTGGGGAAAACCTGAATATTTTATAATATTTTTTTAAAAATTATTTTAAATTATTGTATTATTTTAAAAATGCTTGCATATTCATAATGGAATACTGAAATTATTAAATGAATATTTGATGGTATGGGAAAACTACATAATGTAGTTCTTGGTAAAAATTCTGGGTATGAAAACAGTATATACAGATGTGTTGTGCCTAGTTGCTCAGTTGTGTCTGACTCTTTATGATCCCATGGACTGTAGCCCACCAGGCTCCTCTGTCCATAGAATTCTCCAGGCAACAATACTGGAATGGGTTGCCATTCTCTCCTCCAGGGGATATACTGCTACTACTGCTAAGTCACTTCAGTCACGTCCGACTCTATGCAACCCCATCCCTGGGATTCTCCAGGCAAGAACACTGGAGTGGGTTGCCATTTCCTTCTCCATTAGTCCTACCCTAAATAGGTTATATACCTACACAGAGGAAATATTTGAAGAGCTATATTATTTTCAGGTAAAGGAATTACAGGTCATTTCACACATTTTGGTCATTTGTTTCCCTTGTAATTTCCAGATTTTCTAAAATAACTAGGATTGAAAAAGTAATACATTTTAGCTGATAAAAAAGGTAAAACAGCTGAAATGTCATGGGGCTATGCTAGAGATGAGCTGGAGCTGGTTGACCATGGGTTCCTGTCAGGGCAGGGACCACCCATTTCCAGAAGGCAATGTGAAGGGTTCCCAGAGCCTGAGGGAATTTGAGGCCAAAGACAAGGGAACTACAGATAGTCAAAAAACACTTGAAAAGATGTTCAACATCAGTAATTGTGAGAGAAATGCAAATCAAAACTACAATGAGGTATCACCTCACACTTGTCAGAATGGCCATTATTCAACATTTTTCCAACAAACAATACATGATAGAGAGGGTGTGGAGGAAAGGAACGCTCCTACACTGCTGGTGGGAAGATTAACTGATACAGCCACCTGGAGAACAGTAAGGGAAAACCTGAAAATAGAACTACCATATGACCCAGCAACCCCAATCCTGGGCGTATACATGAAGAAAACCATAATTCAAAAAGATACATACACCCCAGTGTTCACTGCTGTAGTGTTTACAGTAGCTGGGATATGGAAGCAACTTTATTCATCAACAGAGAAACGGATAACGATGTGGTACATATACCCACTGGAATATTACTCAGTCGTTAAAAAGAATGAAATAATGCCATTTGCAGCAACATGGACTGACCTGGAGATTGTCACGCTGAGTGAAGTAAGTCAGGCAGAGAAAGACAAATATCATAGGATATTGCTTACATGTGGAATCTTTCAAAAAATGGGGGGTACAAATAAATTTATTTATAAAATAGAAATAGAGTCACAGATGTAGAAAACAAGCTTACAGTTACCGGAGAGTGAGGATGGGGGAGAGGTAGATTGGAACTGATATATACACACTGTGGCCGTGTGCTCACTCACTTCAGTCGTGTCCAGCTCTTTGTGACCTCATGGACTATAGCCCGCCAGGCTCCTCTGTCCATGGGAGTCTCTAGGCAAGAACACTGGAGTAAGTTACCATTTCCTTCTCTAGGAGATCTTCCCAACCCAGGGATCAAACCTGTGTCTCCTGCATTGCAGGTAGACTCTTGGCTGTCTGTGCCATCAGGAAGCCCATATACACACTACAGTATATAAAGTAGACAACTAATAAGGACCTATTGTATAACATAGGGAACTCTACTCAATATTCTATGATGGCCTATAGGGGAAAAGAATCTTAAAGAGTGGACATATGTATATGTATACCTGATTCACTTTGCTGTATTCCTGAAAATGACACAACATTATAAATCAACTATACTCCAATAAAACTTTTTTTAAAGACTAGGGGAGATAGTAAGAAGAGAGGACTCTTATTTCCTTGAAGTAGGATGGATACAAGAAAAAATTAAAATCACATATATAGCAATGAGAAAATACTTTTTTACATATAGCAATTTTGGGACCTGGTATCCTACAGGTGACTTACAGCAAAGGTAACATCTAGACTACTGATGATGGCAAACTCTTCCTCACTATCTGTTCACCCTTTTATTTTTTCAGCCTTTTTCTTCTACCTTGTTTCCCCTCTACCATCTTGTAGTTTCCAGTCCCTTTCTTTGATTTCTTCTTCCCATCTTCTTCCCATCAATGAAACTTCCATTGAATAACATGGTTTTCCTTTACCATTGCTCTGCCCACTGAAGGCTCTCTCAAAAATAGAACTTGAATAATGCCCCTCTTAACTCTTTAGTTTTGTAATCTGAAGTACAAAATTTCCAAATTAGGATATTTCTAGTGGAGAACTGAAAGTTAGACATTCTTGATATGTTGTTTTTCCTTTTAGGAAGCAAGATTATAGCATAATGGAGCTGGGGAAAGGAATTTTAAACTTCATCTAGTCAAAATTCTTTAATTAAATACATTTCATTTTTGCTAAATTTAGTATCATGTTACACATCTGTTCATCAATATATTATACTTTATTAATAAGTTGGGAAATAGAGATGAGAAAAAATTGCCCATATTTCCAACCACCTTAATTATTAATGACTACTCATATTTTATAGGCCTTCCTTTTTTTGCTTTTAACACATCATTAGTTTACATTTGAAGCATAGGCTTGATGAACTGTAATTAACTTAGTCATTTCCTTATTGATGTACTTATAGATGGTCCTGTTTTTCACTATTATACAAATACTACTGACATCATGTAAACTTCTGTATTTCAGATTCTTTCCTTAGAGTAGATTTCCAGAATATTTCTTACTGGATCAAAAGCCAAATACATCTTGTTACTTCCTTACATTTCCTTACATCTTGTTACTTCCCAATTGACAGTGTACTCAGCAAATGTAAGTGAATCTCCCAATTTAAAGAGGAAAAATCAGGGCCTAAGAGTTTAAGTGACTTGCTCCAAGTTACAAAGTCACACAGATAGAGAGCCCAAGCCAAGACAAAAAGCAAGCATCTGACTCTAGTCCTCAATTCACTAGGGACATAAGCCTTTCTTTTATCTCTTGGTTTTATTTAACCTTAGATGTTTGGGAATGTTGTCAAGTAGCTTACTCTCTGCTCTTCTCATATGAGATTTTGAGGAATGAAATTCACACCTTCAATAAAAATGCTAAGGTCTCATGTCACGTGAGTCACATTCTACCCAATGACAGCAAAATACACATGAAACATTTACCAAAATAGACCATATGCTAGCCCATAAAATAAGCAAATAAATTTCAAAGGGTTGAAGTCATACGAAGTATGTTTTCTGGCCCCAATAGCATTAAACTAGAAATCAATAACAGAGGCGTGTCTTTTTCCTGACTGGTCTCCGTGGTTCCTACCTGAGAACTGCTGATAGCAACATGTCTTCAGGAAATGCCGCAAATGGGCTCCGTGCCCCTCAGTTCAAAGCAATAGTTGCTGTGCCAGATGATCAGTGCAAAGATATCAACTTATCTGACTATAGAGAAAAATATGCTGTGTTCTTTTACCCTCTTGACTTCACCTTTGAGTACCCCATGGAGATCATTGCTTTCAGTGATTGGGCAGAAGAATTGAAGAAACTCAATTGCTGGTTTTTCTTGGTGGTGCAATGGTTAAGAATCTGCCTGCCAAAGAAGGGGATAGGTGTTTGATCCCTGGTCCAGGAAGATTCCATGTGCTGCGGGGAAACTAAGTTCATGTGCTACAACTACTGAGCTCACACGCCACAACTACTGAAGCCTGTGTACCCCTGAGCCTGTGTTCCTCAACAAGAGAAGCCTCTGCAATGAGAAGCCTGAGGACCACAACAGAGAACAAGCCCTTCTCACTGCAACTAGCAAAAGCCCTCGAGAAGCAATGAAGACCCAGTGCAGCCTAAAATAAATAAGTTAAAAAAAAAAGAAGAAACTCCACTGCCAAGTGATGGATGTTTCCGTGGGTTTTCACTTCTTGTCACCTGGCGTGGATTAACACACCCAAGAAACAAGGAGGACTAGGGCCCGGGAACAGTTCCTTGATATCAGACCCCCAGGGCACCATTGCTCACTATGGGGTCTTAAAGGCTGATGAAGGCATCTCATTCAGACCCTTTCTGCTACTGACGATAAAGGTATCCTTTGAAAGACCACCACCAACGACCTTCCTGTTGGCCACTCTGTGGATGAGACACTGAGACTAGTTCAGGCCTTTCCGTTTATTGACACACATGGCAAAGTGTGCCCAGCTGGCTGGGAGTCTCCAGTGATACCATCACGTCTGATGTCCAGAAGAGCGAAGAATATTTCTCCAAGTAGAACTGAGCTCTGGGCCATTTTAGGGCCAGGCTGCAGTAGAGGGCCTTGAGAACAAAACCTCCTTTGTCCTATTGCCATGCTTAAAACCAAGGCCTTGCACTCAGTCTGGATGTGATATGGACCAGGACAGGCCTTTCCTGCAGGCGCTGGGGAGGCAGATCTCTCTTCCTCTGTACAGAGTGACCTGAGCTGTGTTATGGGGCAGGCCAACTGATGTGTACAGTAGTAGGGTATATAGTAGCAGGGTATCACTTTTAATCTTTTGTAGTTTCTATTAAACTTGAGCTAAAGGGAAAAAAGAAACTAATAGCAGAAAGTTATCTCAAAAAATTTCAAGTATTTGGAAGCTAGATAACACATTTAATTCAAAGAAGAAATTAAAAGGAAATTAGAACTTTTTTTTTTACTTCTTGAGATGAGCACTGTCACAATTTCACAAAGACAGAGACTCAAGCTTAGAAGTTCTGCTTAAAAAATTGGTTGGTAAGTGGTGACTCAGGCTCAGAGACCTAGTGCTTCACTGTTACCCTAAAATGCCTTTCTCCACCTAGTTCTTCCATGTATACTGGGTCCATGGATGCCTGAACTTAATCAGAAGTGTAGAATGTATTTTGACTGTAACAAAAATGAAAACAATTGCATATCAAGATTTGTTGGATGTCACTAAAGCAATTCCTGAGGAGAAATTTGTGACTAAATGACTAATGACTGTATTAGAAAAGATGAGTAGTGCAGTCATCTGTATTGTGCTAAGTGACAATACTAGAAAAGAAGATCACAGATCATTGACATAAGCAACAAGGAAAGAAGAAGAAATTAAATCCGAAGTAAGCAGAAGAAAGAATTAATAAAGATCTGAGCAAAAACTAATACAATAAGAAACAGGAAAACATTAGAGAAAATCAATGAAACCAAAAGATGATCCGTTGAGTTCAATAAAATTGATGAACCTCTAGTCAGACTGATCAAGAAAAAAGAAACACAAATTACCAATCGCAAGAATGAGAGAGGTGCCTCCTGGACTGTCTTCCTTTGCCCAAAGTGAACTCTATTTCTTCTCCTTTTTCTCCTTTCCTTCCTGGTCATCCTCCTACTGCTTCTTTTAATAGATTTATTTCCTGATAATCACAATTACACACGTTCAAGGCAGATAATTTAGAAAACACACGGAAAAACCGTAAAGATCATCTTTGTTCTCCTCTCCCACTCTTGGAAATAGCCACTGCTTAATATCTACATTCTTGCCTTTTCTCTAAGCATCTTCTCCCTAAATTGTATCAGACTATGCATAATTTTTGTAAAAATATGTATTTATTTGACTGCCTTGGGTTTTAGTTGTGGTGCACGGACTCTCTAGTTGTGGCGTGTAGGTTTAGTCGCTCAGCTGCGGTTGGGATCTTAATTCCCTGACCAGGAACAGAACCTCTGTCCCCGGCACTGCAAGGTGAACTCAACCACTGGACTACCAGGGAAGTCCTTATGCTTGTTGTTATACGCATGCATCACAATTTTAAAGCAAAAACTAACAATAGAACCCTACACCAGTGTGCTGTTTGCCATGAGATAAACATCACTGCAAATGTGTTCAAATCTTGAGTCCATCTTCAGTTTCACAACCTTGCTTTGATCGTCCTACCCACTCCAAGCCCCATTTTGCCATCTTCCAAGACCTGCAGGGACCCAGCCTTATCACTTTTTGGAAAGGATTTGAAATCTTAAAGAGAATGTAAGAGATAGATTCTCTCTTCCTTGAGGGTTTGCATTTGAACTTCAACCCTAGGGGTGGCATGAAAGATTTGTTTCCTGCCCAGGGAATTTCTTGACGGCAGACATGAAATTAAGAGACACTTGCTCCTTGAAAGGAAAGCTATGACAAACCTAGACAGTGTATTAAAAAGCAGAGACATCACTTTGCCGACAAAGGTCTGTTTAGTCAAAGCTATGGTTTTTTCAGTAGTCGTGTACAGGTGTGAGAGTTGGACCATAAAGAAGGCTGAGCACTAAAGAGCTGATGCTTCCAAACTACGGTGCTGGAGAAGACTCTTGAGAGTCCCTTGGACAGCAAAGAGATCAAACCAGGCAATTCTAAAGGAACTCAACCCTGAATATTCACTGTAAGGACTGATGCTGAAGCTGAAGCTCCAATAGTTTGGCCACCTGATGCAAAGAGCCAACTCCCTGGAAAAGACCCTGATGCTGAGAAAGACTGAGGGCAGAAGAAGGGAGAGACAGAGGACGAGATGGTTGGATGGTATCACCGACTCAGTGGACATGAGTTTGAGCAAACTCTGGGAAATAGTGAAGGACAGGGAGGCCTGGAATGCTGTAGTCCAGGGGGTCGCGAAGAGTTGGACATGACTTAGCGACTGGACAACAAGGAATTTCAGACAATAGCAAGTGCAGACGGTGACCCACACCTCCCAGGGATGATTGGTCTCTTTTAGTTTAGTAATAATAACAACAGGTATTGGTGACAGGTGCTCTACATGCATCATTTCCTTGAACCCTCACATTGACAAGTGAAGAAGGTCCCCCCTTTATATGTTAAGAACTGAAGGCCCAGGACTTCCTGGTGGTCCAGTGGTTAAGACTCAGTGCTTACACAGCAGAGGGCATGGGTTCGATTCCTGGTTAGGGAACGAATAAATAAATTCCCCATGGCAGCACAGCACTATCAAACACACAAAAAAGACAACTTTCCCAGGGACACAGAACTAGTACATGGGTGGAGCTACTACTTGAGCCCAGGTCTTTCTAACTCCAGACCGAGAACTTGTAGAATTAGTGCCTTCATGATGAAATGAAGGGACCTTACTGCTTTGGTTTCTTGTTTTTCAACAGTCAGACTTGAAAAGCTGTCAGGGAAGTGCTTCAGGCTACATCATGGGCCCATGATTGGCTTGCAACAGGCACTTTCCAAGCCTGACCTGGGACACTAAATGCAAAAAACAGTCAGTCCTTACCATGTTTATCTGGCTAGTTCAGGGTATAAGTTCTCATTCCTCCAGACTCCTTCCTGTGCCGTCTAAATCATAGCTGGTGTCTCACCCTCCTGTTCCCACTAAAGGCATTTATAGACAACCATGATGCCAGCCTCTGTGTTGCCAGCCTCCTTCAGTCTTCATAATAATCTTGCCAGGAGGCACGATGGAAATGCCATCTCCATTTCAAAGATGGAGAAACTGAGTCCCAGAGACTCAGCTTACATGGAGATAAGCAGCAGAGCTGGGATTAGACACCTGGGTTCTGTGACACCAGAGCACACTCTATGCAACCTCCATCTCTGCCTCACCTGCTGGGTGGTACCCTTTCTCACATCAAGCTCACTGACTCTTTTGGATGTCTCCCTGTGTCTGTCCTCCTAGTTTGGATGAAGATGTCAAGTTGCTCAGGCTCCTGGCTCTCCAGATGCTTCATCACACTGGTCTTCCTCCAGCTGCCTTTGCACATGTCAGGTAAGAGTTTCTGAACCTCTTTCCCTGCCTGGGACATTGGGCAAAGGGGTCCAACAGAGTCAGGGACAGCACTCTGGGGAACGTGTACTGCACCGTCTGCAGCATGGGCCTCGTCCAAGAGAAGGCCATAGCCATGGTCATAGGAGATAAACGCAGGGTAGGAAAAAAGCTTGAAGTCCCTGGTGGTTCCAGAGAAAAGTCCTATGCTAGTTGAAACTTAAGAAAGCAATTCTGGATTTTTAAAATTCTATCAATAACAAATGTTTATTGTGGACAATTTGAAAAAATACAGAACATGTTAAATAAGCCCCTAAATGGCCTAGAATCTCATAAATTGGAAAGAACAACTGCTAACATTTGGGGGCATTTCTTTTTTTTTAACCATTAAAAAAATTGAAATATAGTTAATTTACAATGTTGTGTTAGTTTCTGATGTATAGCAAAGTGAACAGTTTTACAGATCTATATATATAGACATATATATGTGTATACACTACATACATGTGTATACACTACATATATGTGTATACACTATATATATATGTCTATACACTATATATATATATATATATACACACACACCATATATGTCTATACATATATACATACACACATATATACATATACATATATATATGTATATAGTGAAGGGATTTCTTTGAAGACTTTCTTGTATGTCTATATCTCTGAGTGTTCATGTGTTTATGTGTATGTACTCTTCTGCTCAGGTTTATTTTTTCCCCTCCACTTACAATGTCATGAACATTGTTCACCCACGTCCTTAAGTCATTCTCTACAGCATGATTTTTAAGGGCTAAATAGTATTTAATTGTGTGGTTATGGCATAACACAATTATTCAGATCTCCATTTCTAGACATCTGAAGGTTTCCATTTTTCCCTTATATTATAATAAATGGTACAATGCATATCTTAGCGCATATTTTGGGAAGTGATTCTGATTGTTTTCTTAGAATGTGTTTCTGGAAGTAGAATTAATAGGTCAAAAGGGTATGACTCTTTTAAAGACTCTTGAAACATGGAGCCCTGTGGCAGAGCTGAGTGGTTTTAGAGCCAAGAAAGACTGTGGTCTTGGGTCCCAGATGGGGAGGAGTCATGGACCTCTGCCAATCTCTTTTGTCTTTTCTCTCTGTCCCCCCTTCTCTTACTACTGCCACTGTCTCTCACTGAGAGCTAAGTGCCTGATCTCATTAAATGTCCCAAGAACCCAATGGATAGAGTTGGCAGGCCAGGCTTGGGGAGCCCCAGTCTCTGGCCTGGGGTCACGCAGTGCTGAGCGAAAGGCTTGCAACCAGCTTACGCTCTTCGCCGCTTGACATAAAGCCTCTTCTGCTGTTATTTCCTTCTCCACGTTGTCTCTCCTTTCTCCTTTCTCTCCTGCCTAGACATTCGGCTTGCTGCTGTAGCTCTATAGAAATTGGTTTGCCCTGGCCAATAGGGCTCAGGGCAAAGAGTTCACTGACTGCAGTTTTATCCTGGAATGAGGATTTAAAGGGGAAGCAGGTGGGTGCTCACAAGATGATAGGGGATTCCTGAGGGCTCACCTCCAGTTCTCCAAAGTCTCTAGGTAGTTTTTTCATATAGGGTAGGGTGAGATTGTGGTTTAGGTGCTGAGTTTTGTTTTGTTTTGTTTTTTTGTCTTGTCTTATACCTTTTATTCTTTTTAAATTTAATTTAATTTATTTGACCATGCTGCACAACATGTGAGATCTTAGCTCCCAAATGAGGAATTGAACCCATGCCCCTGCATTGGACGCACAGAGTCTTATCCACTGGACCACCAGGGAAGTCCCTAGGTGCTGAGTTTTTTTACATTTACTTTATTATTGGCTGTGCTGGGTCTTCCTTGCTGCCCATCAGCTTTCTCTAGTTGTGGTGAGCAGAGGCTGCTCTCTAGTTTTGGTGCTCGGGCTTTTCGTTGTGGTGGCTTTTGTTGTTGCAGAGCACAGGCTCTAGAGTATGTGGGCTTCAGTAGTTTCTGAGTATTAGCTCAGTAGTTGCGGTGCATGGGCTTAGCTGTCCTATGGCCTGTGGAATCTTCCTGGAACAGGGATCGAACCTGTGTCCTCTGCATTGGCAGGAGGATTCTTAACCACTGGACCGTCAGGGAAGCCCAAATTGCTGAGTATGACTCATTGTCTTCAGGCAGGGTCATTGAAACCAATCCTGAGAGATAAACATCTCACTTTAAAGTCATCCCTCGGTCAGCTGGGCTTTGAGTTGCTGAGAGAAGCAGAGACCCTCACCATCTTGGCTTCAGGTGTCTCTTGAGGTGACAAAGGCTGTTGGGATGTGCCCGAGACACCTGCCATTCAAAGTGGGGCCCTGGCATGGGAGAAGCTCTCAGTGGGCGGTCACAGGTGCTTTCTCTTTCAGCCGAATCTCCAGGGACCTTCTCACCATCAGTGGTGGCTCTTGCTGTGATCCTACCTGTCCTGGGGATTTTCATCATGGTGGGCGTTTACATCATCTGGAAGCAAAGAAGGTCAAAAGGTAACTGAGTGGTAAGGGAGCCCAGACCGGCAGGAAATAGTACTGCAGACTTGCTATGGAAAGGCTGGGAGGATGCGACACAGATCTAACAGTTATGCATAGGTTGTCTGGGAGAAGCCATGCTCTCGGAGACCACATTGCAGAGAGGATCAATAGGAAGCTCCTGGGCGGGGCTGTGAATTCTCATCTTTAGGGAAATTAGCACAGAACACATCATGCCAATCTTCTCATTAATTAAGAACTCCAGTTGTATCCATTGGATGAAACCCTTAATAGGGTTGCATTTCATGGCTCTCAGGGTTGCAAAGGATCTTGAAAGTCACATAATCCAACACTCCTTTCTGCATCTGATGGTTTGAAGACCCTCTAATCCTTTCTAATGGTCACACACTCATAGTGACAGGGAGCAAAATCCTGCTCAGGCCGCCTGTGGACAGCTCTGCTTATTAGAAAAGCTGCTGCTGCTAAGTCACTTCAGTCGTGTCTGACTCTGTGCGACCCCATAGACGGCAGCCCACCAGTCTCCTCCGTCCCTGGGATTCTCCAGGCAAGAATACTGGAGTGGGTGTTTAAAAAGGGCCTTCCTTAGGGAAAAAAAAAAAAAAGAAAAGAAAAGACCCTTCCTTAAGTTGACATTTCTTTCCCTTCCAGAGAGGCTTCTCTATGAACATGCGATGGAGGTAGGTAAGTATCCTGGGCTGGGTGGAGATGTTTCTCCATTTTGTTCATTTTTGTGTCCCTAGGACCCACTAATCTAAATTCTGGTCCTGCAGATCCCAGCATCTGCTATCCTTGGTGGTGACAGTAGTGAGGTGGGGGATTAGAACCATCATTTCCACTTTCTGATGACTTTTTCTTATAATATCTTGCCTTCCAATGTGTTTGGTGATGTTGTCTGTGAACTCATGGCTTGATCTGATTCTGGGAGAGTCCTGTAGCTCTAACATAGGGGACATGTTTATTCATTCAACAAATAATTGATAATTCTCTACTACGTGGTGATGCTTGTGACACAATGGTGAGTGAAAGTGGACACAATCTTTGCCTTCTTGGAAGCTTTGATCCAGTCAGGGAGGGACACATGAATTTAATGGTGAGACAAATGCCGCAGATGGAAATTCTGAAGGCTGGAGAGATGGTGACCAGGTGAAACTAACCAGACTTCAGGAATAGAAGAGGACTTTTCAAAGGAAGTGATGTTTGACCTGGAGGATGGACTGACATGGGGGAAGAGAGAACAGAAAACCACCCACAGCAGAAGAGCTTGAGAAAGTGACATGGTGCCTGAATGAGGGGAAAGGGGGCAGCAGATGATGCTGCAGAGGGAGGCAGGGACCAGCATGTGAGGCCTTGGGGACCACATGAAGGTCTTCAGTTTTCTCCGTGGAGCAGTGGTGAAGCTGTGAATAGGATATCCCGACCAGAATTATGCTTCCAGAAAGCTCTCTTTGGCTGCTGTGTTGAGAGGAGACCAGGGGGAGGAGGCAGAATGTGAGGGCAGTTTGGGCCACTCTTTCTGGCATCCTGATGAGAAGTGATGAGGGACCGGATAAGGGGGGAGGAGGTGAAGATAGAGGAGGATATGTTCAAGAGCCCATAAACTCCATTAGAAGCAGGGATCCTCAAGAAAATGGCACAGAATCTCATTTTCTTTTACTTTCCTTCCTCTAGAAAATCTTCTCTCAGACCATGCGAAAGAAAAAGGTAATTATATGTATAGCATAAGGGGTAGGGAACAGATAACATATTTTTCCTCCTTCTACATAAATGCTGACAGTCACTTGTTAAACATACAATATACTTGTGTGTATGTGTATACACACGCACACACTCCCCACACATATTTCCTCTGTTAGTATTATTGGACTTTGCTTTCCAGTATCAAGGGTTGGTAGCTATGGGTGAGGGGACTCCTGTGGACAGAATTCATTGGTCCATTCATTGGCTTTTCCACTAATCACCTAAAAAGAAGATCTATATACTATGTAAAAATTTATTAAGATGGTATTATGGGGGACTTCCCTCATGGTCCAGTGGTTAAGAATCTGCACTTCCAATGCAGGGGGCACAGATTTGATCCTTGGTTGGGGAACTAAGATCCTGCAGGCTGTGTGGTACAGATCCCAGTTTTTTTTTTTTGAAAAGTTATTACAGGATGTATGAGAATCTCAAGGATCCGTATAAACTTTGCATTGATAGAGGTGGTGCACTGACAGTGGGAGGATCACAGGTGCTGGAGTCAACAGCATCTGGTTCAGATCTGCCATTTACAGGCCTGGGTTAAGTCACTACTACTCTGAGGTTTGGTTTCCTCATCTGTAAAATTGTGATAATAAATCCTCTCACCTGATTGTTTTCAGTATTAACGAAGACAACTTAAAAAAAAAAAACCCTCCTGCTACAATTCCTGAAACCTTTCTCTTATTACCATTTTGTCTTCATTAACTGAATGCTTGCTCTGGGCCACTGAGTATAAAAGATAGAACCCTGAGTTCAAAAAGCAGGTGGGACTCTGCCCTTTGAAAGTCTACCTGGGAAGATGAATCATTGTCTTCTAGCTCAGAAATGACTCCACATGCAATGATTTCGGCATCTCCCCCCTTCCCCCCTCTCATCTCCTCCAGACTGGTTAAAGCGTGGGATGCAGCCTCAAGGATGCAATGACCATCCTGTCCTAGAAGGGAAGGGACTGTGTGGGGTAGTATGAAAGCCTCCAGCTAGGAGTCAGACAGACTTGCATGTGAATCCTGCCTCCTTGGCCACTTACTAACTGGATAATCTGGACAAATTTCCATGTCCCTCTGAGCCTCAGGCCACCACTCTGTAAAATGGGAATAATCATTATATGCACCTCACATTATTGAGAGGATTCAGGACCTACATCATAAGAATAGGACACAATAAATGGAGGCTGTTGGTAGTGAGAATGGTAAAATAACATCTCATTGGGAGGCTCTATCATACTCAGCTTCATTGCCCCAATGCCCAGCACCTAATACATGCCCAGCCGTTAGCACAGGGCCTGACAGTAAACTCAGGTGGATAACTTCAGCTCTGGGGTGGGATCAGTGCTGAGGGGGAAGGTGGGCAGACCACTCTTCCAGAAAAGCTGAAGGTACTCCCCCAAAGCACAGAAGCATATGCACACGTCCCAGACCTCCTGGGGTCACAGTTCTTCAGGGAGGCTACTGTAGAGAGTAATAGAACATGACAGTAAGTGAACAGTGGGTCTTCAGCTAGTTTCACACCATAGATATTATGGCACAGCATAATGCGGTTCATGTTCAGTCATGTCTGGCTCTTTGTAACTCCATGGACTCTGGCCCACCAGGCTCATCTGTCCAAGGAATTCGCCAGGAAAGAATACTGGAGTGGGTAGCCATTCCCTTCTCTGGGGGATCTTCCTGACCCATGGATCGAACCCAGGTCTCCTGCATTGCAGGCAGATTCCTTACCATCTGAGCCAGCAGGGAAGCCCAGCAGTTATAAAAGAGCAGCAAGGCATACAGTCATGGACACTGGTTACCAACATGGAAAAATTCATACAGACAGCGGAAAGGAAACCAGGCAGACCCAGGGAAGGGAGGAGGAGCCGGAGTCAGGGTGGTCCAGGTTGCCCGGAAAGTGGCACCGGCACAGTGAATTTCCCATCTGCCCGCAGGGAGATGCGACTGGACTGGGGCTGATGGCATCGTCATCGTCCTTTCCGCCAGGGGTGGGGGGTGGCGTGATGAGCCCTCCTGCTCACTTGCGCTTCTTTCTCTGTTTTCTAGGACGACTCCATAAAGCTCTCAGTAAGTTCTGCTTCTCATCTGTGCTCCAAACCTTCTGCAGACATCTTTGTTTTAGGATAAGAGCCCCAGATTCACCTCCTGGGGCAGAAGAGAGGGGACAAAGGACCTAAAGCACATGGGTTGGGAATTTTTTGGCTTCATAAAGGCCTCTTTTTTTTTTCTCAAATATTCCCTGCTCCTGTTTCCTGCACAATTGTTATCTGGTCTCTATAAAGGACATGTTTTAGCAAGAAGAGAGGTACCTCCTACAGGTGAAGTCATCAGGAAGACACTTCTATCACTCAGGCATGACATTCGGTTAGGTGGAATCCAAGGTAGATGGATCCTCACTCAACTGAATATATGGAGCAGTGCTTCTCTACCCTTTCATGTATGAGAACCTCGTTATAACAACAACTACCCCAAATCCTCAAACATGTGACGTATCTATATGACTTCACACTGAGAAAATATGCATTAGAAAATCTAATGGAAATTCAATAACAATTTTAAATGAATCTATATTTTATTTTTCTCCCACAACATTGCATATATTTATGTGAGATGTGTTGTATGTTGAGTCTGCAGGTCATTTTGGCTCCCATAGGAACTTGCTGACCCTCTGCATTATTGCTGGGGACCCGGGCTGGGAGTCATTGCTGTTGAAACACTGTCATGGGGGAAGGATCTGCTCTAGGAGTGTGGTTGGGATGGGACTGGAGCATCACAGGCATGTAGAAGCCCTCATTCTGATTTGTCAAATTGTTTTTATTCTCTAGAGAAACTCCGGAGAGAACTGAGTAAGTACCTTTGCTCTTATAACTTCCACAACATCTTCTTTTCTGTTGATTCTGTTTCCAATGAAAACTCATTCTCTGTGTTTCTTCTTTTGTAGAGTTAAAAAGAGCTGCAGCAAACTCAGGTGAGATGCACTTTCCTCATCCAGCACCCCCTCATCCTTCCACCATTCCCCATCCCCACCCTGTATCAGAAAGTCTCCATTTATTTCTCCATCACTTTAACAATGCCTTTTTTTCCTGTCTTTCAGGCTGGAGAAGGGCCCGGCTGCACTTTGGTAAGGTACACCTGTCAGATGGATCCACAGTTGAGAGCCCATGACTCTGTTTCTTTAGAAGGCAGACCGTAATTTTAACAAAATTTTAAGTCTGTGTATCTGTTAATCAAATTTTGAAAATCTTTTCTTTTGGGAGGATGAAATTTAGATTTAGAAAGTCTCCTTTCTTTTAAAACACTGATAAATATTTGGTTTACTCCTCTTAAGGGTATTCTATGATTTGTGAGATTTTTCTTAAGTCTGTTGGTTATTTGTATTTTATCTCTGTGACTTGTCTGCTCCTGTCCTATTCTAGCTACTTTTCAGTTTGTGGGGACTTTTTGCTATATTAACCCTTGGTCGTATTTTTCACACAGTATGTTTCTGAGTTTTCATTTGCACGTTACTTTCCTCCATGTATTCCTTTTGAAGCATGGGTGTTTTATTTTTCTGTAGTCAAATCCAGTCATCTTTCCCTGCGTAGTCTCTCCGGTGCTTTCAGGTTGAGCAGTCCTTCCTTTCCCACTACTGGACAGCTAGTCAGTGCTCCTGTCTCTTTCTACGCATCTGCCACATCCTTCTTTCTCTGCAGATCCGTTTCCTTGGTGAGTGGTGATTCTCAGAGAAGAGAGTGAGTTGGGATGAAGCCCCAACAATGTAGACTACAAAAAAGTTTCATTGTTTTATTTGAAAAGATTTGCACATCTCTTCAATTTTTTTCCTAGATCACATTTTTTTGTGTTGCTGTTTGAAAGAGACCTGTTATTTTCACTGCTTTGCTGCCCTCCCTGCATTTTCCAAGATGCTCATCCCCTTTCCATTCAGAAGGTTTTCATTTAGGCAGGGACAATAGAATCCATGAGTGGCCCATTGAGAAAACACCGGGTCAACTAGATTGACATTCTGGGAACTCACAAACCCTTTTCACTCTCCCAGTCTGATTCATTCCCACTACTTGACTGAGTGTGCATTTTGTGGATTTAACTCTCCAAAATGAGCTTGTTTTTTGACTTAGGGAAGGAAGGAGATTCATTGTCACCCTCATAATCCATAGTTTTAAGGAAGTTATCTCTCTACATTAACATTTTAAGATGATGACTATAGGCAATCATTTTAGTTAAGAAAATGAGCATCACACACTCATTATCTAGTGCATTAGCTCATCAAATCTGCACAACAGCTCTCCAACATCGGTGCTGCTATTATTCCCACTTTACAGATGAAGGTTTAGAGATGAATAACAAGCCCAGTATCACATAACTAGTGTAAGACAGAGCTGGGGCTCCAATATGCTATCAAGCTACTGGGTCTAACATCAAAACTTGTTTATTATCATACATGAGAGTCCTTTGGACCAGCAAAGACAAAGGCAGTATTTCTTAAGGATTAAGGCAGCTTCACAGACAGATGAGAAATTTTTCCCTCTTAATCCACTAGCAGATGTAGGAGACTGGACAACATATTGTTTTTTAGTTCCAGGACATGTGGGGATGGGGGCACCATGGTTGCAGACCTAGAGGTGATTATTCCCTCCACAGCTACTCAGAGGTCGCTGGAGACTTAGCTTCCTAAAACCTCACCTCTCTGTGACTCTCTGCAGTGACTGTGACCCTGGACCCAGACACAGCGCATCCCAAACTCATCCTGTCTGAGGACCGCAAGTGTGTGAAGCTTGGAGACATAAGGCAGCCTGTGCCCGACAATCCCAAGCGATTTGACTTCGTTGTCAGCGTCCTGGGCTCCGAGTACTTCGTAGCTGGCTGTCACTACTGGGAGGTGTCTGTGGCAGACAAGACCAAATGGGCCCTGGGGGTGTGTAGTGAGTCAGTGAGCAGGAAGGGGAAGGTCACTGCCTCGCCCGCCAACGGACACTGGCTCCTGCGACAGAATCACGGGAATGAGTATGAGGCCCTCACATCCCCGCAGACCTCCTTCCGCCTGAGGGAGCCCCCGAGGTGTGTGGGGATTTTTCTGGACTATGAAGCAGGAGTCATCTCCTTCTACAATGTGACCAACCAGTCCCACATCTTTACTTTCACCCACAGTTTCTCCGGCCCCCTCCGCCCTTTCTTTGAACCTTGCCTTCATGATGGAGGGAAAAACACAGCACCTCTAATTATCTGTTCTGAACTCCAGAAACCAGAGACAGAAGAAAGAGGCCAGGCTAATGGAGATGTGGCCCTGCAGGTGGACCCTTTCTTGCTCCCTGCTCAGGCATCAGAGCTCGCCCCACTCAGGGATATAATCCTGTCCTGGTCCTCTGACCTTGGGCCAGCCCTCCAGGGGCTCAAGGTTCCTTCTTTTTAGGGATGGGCCTCATCACCTGATTCTCAGACTCTCTTGCCCAGTGCCCTGGATCTCAGTCTCCTGGCCCAGTGATTCTGGAGCATCTCCTCTCCTTTCCCCCAGCCCAGACCCCTTTGTGGTTTCTCTTGTACCACCTTTCTCCCAGGGCTCGGTTTTAGAACTTCTGGGAACTTGAAGTTTCCATTGCCCTGCAAGAATTCTTAAAAACCAAATGAACAATCAGATTAGGTTTAGGTGATGCTGTGGAATGTGTGTCACTGAGATATAGGGACTCTCTACTCAAGGGTCTTCTTGAAAGCACTTCATCCTGCCTCATCCTGCACTCAGGCTTGTAGTTATGAAGTTAGGATGCCCAGCCCTGACTTATTTATCACATCAAGAATCACTTTTCTCCTTTTCTCAGTTCAGGCTTCTAACCCCCAAGGACTGCTTTTTAAAAGTAAACTTCTTTTGGATCACATACTCTTCCTTCTTTCTTCTGGAATATAGGGCAGAGGGCCAGAGGGATTTAAAAAAAACAAAGTCACTGTTTTCTATTTCCTTGATGCTATCTACAGTATAGTTTGGTGACATGTGGAACTAACATGTGTGCGTGTTAAGTCGCTCAGTTGTGTCTGACTCTTTGCAACCCTATAGACTGCAGCCTACCAGACTCCTCTGTCCATGGGGATTCTCCGGGCAAGAATACTAGAGTGGGTTTCTATGACCTCCTCCAGGAAATCTTCCTAACCCAGAGATGGAACCTAGATCACCTGTATTGCAGGCAGATTCTTTACCATTTGAGCCACTAGAGAATGTTTTCAAAGCTAACTTGGTGATAACCAGGTATGGGGACTTTAAACATGGTAGCCGTAATCTTAATTTTGAAAAGCCTAAGGATCACCCTCAGGAAGATAGGAAGCAAGGCTTCATACAGAGTAGCCCAGCTGTGTGTGGCCTTGAAAAGTCAGCTGTGGGTGAGGCCGTGTGTTACACTGATCCTTTTCAATCCCCTCTGAGATTCAGAGAGGAATTTTTTGTTTGCTTTTGTACAGTCCTTAAATAAAAGCTTGGTATTTGTCATTTGGCATGCTCCTATTTTCATCGGGAATGAGAAGCTGTGGGGAAAGGCTTTGGGCTGGTAAGCAAAAAGCACATTATAGGACTGCTTTTGAAGAGCCTTAATTCCACCCAGGTGAGTTTAGCCAGTTAAAAATAAAGCCACAGTTTTATTTCTGAGTCTGCCTTCTCAGTATTTCATTTATATCTATTTATAAAGTTGCAGTATATGTGGGGAATTTATATTTCACTCATCCGTATTTAGTTTCAAACATACTTTTGTGACTATCCTGGTCTTATAACTGATTCACATTGTTCACACTGGCTGCACCCAAGAAAACTTACCAACAGGAAAGAGAACTGACATTTGTGGTGGCAGAAGTATTACATATGTTAACTTATTTAATTCTTACAGTAATTCAGCCAGGGATTTTATAGGGGAAGGAAATAATGCAAGGTGGTAGAACTGGGATTATAAATCTAGTGTATCTATCTCTGAAGACAATACTCTTTTTTCTCTTTGCACTGAAATATTCTTGAAAATGTGAGAGGCTTGTAGAATTTTAGCCTACATATTTGATTAGATTTTTAAAAAAATTAAACCTGAAAAAAAAAATCTTAATCCTGGATAGTGGTCTTGTTGTGTCTGAATTGATGAACAAAAGTCAAGTTTCACTAAGTAGCACTCAGAAAAATCCCTGTGCAGCGACTTCAGGAAACTGGAGGTGGTTCCTTGGCCAGGGAATGTTTAGCTTCTCTGACAAAGGTATCGGATTAGTTGATCTTTCAACTCTCTTTCAGGGGGAGGCATAAATTAGGAGTACTGAATTAACAGATATAAACTAGAATCCATAAAATAGATAAGCAACAAGTATTTACAGTATCTCACAGGCAATTACACACAATATCTTGAAATAACCTATAATGGAATATAATCTGTAAATAACAACTACCCCTCATCACTATGTTATACACCTGAAACTAACACAATATTGTAAATCAACTATATTTCATTAAAAATAAATAGATTCCCTTCCAGTTTCCAAATCCTTTGACTTTAAATTATAAATCCCCAGTTGGGCGCGGGATTCTGGATTCGGGGGATGTCTACAGGATCGCCAAGGCTGGCAAATTTAGAGTGAATAGAAACTCCGAATTCGTGACCCCTAGGAGATCATGTAGGTTAGCGCTACATAGTCTCCTTCCCACACTGCTGGCCCGCACTTTGGGCTTTAAACGCCGGAGCGCAGCAGGAAGCCCTCGACCTTAGAGGGAATCCACTCTCCACCACTAAATTCTAAACTTCTCAAATTTCTTCTCCGAGCCTAGTTATCTTCCACAGGACTACAACTCCCAGCAGGCCACACCAGGAATTCTTGCGTTGTGGCAGCCAGTACAGCCAGTAAAAAGGAAAGGGAATCCTCAGGAACCAATCCTGAAGAGGTAGGGCGGATCCTTTCCGGGTTCCGGTTCCGGCTCCTCCCCCCGGCTCAGCGAGGCGGCGCTGTTCCTGACCGGGAGACGCTGGAACTAGGTGGGTTGGGGTCGGGCCCGAGGTCGCGGTGGGTAGGCGTTAGTGGCTTCGCGGGGAGCTCTCAGCTTAGTCCCTTTCCTCTCACCGGGCAGCTGGGGTTGTGGCTTTGTTCCGCGGACCCACTGGGGAGCAAACGGGGCCCTGTGTTCCTGTAGGAAGAACAAACGGAATGTAGGAAGAGCAAACATAACGCCATGATAGGAGGCAGGAGCAGGAAGACCAGGCCCTCACCCTGGCAACTAAGGCGACTATCAGGTCACCAAGACACAACCAGTCAGAGACTATCAGGCCACCCAGATACAGCCAATCAGAACTTGTTTACGGAAAGATCCCGCGCGCGCGAATGTCTGACCAATGAAAAGACCCCCGCGAACATGTAACCAATCCGCTTCGCTAAATGACCCCTGCTTATGTTTGAAATTGGATGTTCTATAAATATGGGTAGAAAACCGGGCTCGGGGCTCTCAGCCTGTGCGCCACTGCGTTGGACACAGCGGGGGCCCTAGCTCGAGCTAGCAATAAACTTCCTTCTTGCGTTTTGCATTGTCTCTTGGTAGCTTTCTCTCTTCCCGCTCGGGGATTCGGACATCGGGCATAACAGTTCCCTCGTCCCAACTCCTGGCCCCTTTGCCCGGCCAGCCTCTGGCCCCAAGCCCCTGCCTTCCCGCCCTTCTGTTGGCCTTTGAGTACCCAGTCCCGCTGCCACTGACCATATTTTTGGGGTCAGCTTCTCCTTCTCTCCCACCCCTCCGGCCCCAAGCCCGCCCGGCAGCTCTGAACCTAGCTCCTCTAGAACGCTCGTACCTCAGACTTCGCCCGGCTGCACACAACCCAGCCTCTTGGGTCGGGTTCCCACCCTGACCAGTCTCCTCGACCCTCTGACTCTTTTGGTCCTCTTCTCTCTCCTTATCCAGCTCCCTTGTTCAGTTAGCAGTTCTTTCACACATTTCCCCTGATATTTCCAAGCTCCCCTCTTTCCTTCCTCTCTCCAAGCCTCGACTTGACCCTTCAACTAAAGGCCCCTGAAACCACTTTCCAGCTTGGTCCCGTCCCTCTAACCCAGGCCCTTGGCCTTCAACATCTCTGATCACCAGCCCCATCTTCTTGGCTCTTACTTGTTAGACCTGGCTTCTTTTCCACTGTTTCAGTCCCTTCCACCTGTGGTCCTGCCTGTACCTCTGAACCTCCTGCGAAGACAAGCGCCATGAGTCCCTTTCTCCCCAAATCTCTGAAATGTGATATGGAAATGCTTCTTTACCTGGCATTGTTTTCTTAGATGGTGGGTTCCCCATCTCTGNGCAACACTCAGGAGTGAGGTACCGGGGGGAGGGGCCCGGGCAACACTGGGAGATAGACTTTACTGAGGTAAGGCCAGGGAAGTATGGGTATCGCTATCTGTTGGTTCTGGTAGATACCTTCTCGGGGTGGGTGGAAGCTTTCCCCACTAAGGGAGAGACAGCCATAGTGGTTGCTAAGAAGATCTTAGAGGAAATAGTGCCTAGGTACGGGCTGCCAGTGACTATGGGCTCTGATAACGGACCTGCCTTTGTGAGCCAGATTGTACAAGGGCTGGCCCGAGCTCTGGGGACGAAATGGAAGTTACATTGCGAATATAATCCCCAGAGCTCAGGACAAGTTGAGAGAATGAATCGGACCCTAAAAGAAACACTGACAAAATTGGCAATAGAGACTGGCGGGGACTGGGTGACCCTCCTTCCCTTCGCACTCTTCCGGGCGCGTAACACCCCATATAAGCTGAACCTTACCCCCTTTGAAATTTTGTATGGAAGACCCCCTCCTGTGTATCCTATTTTTGAAGGAAAGTGCCTGCCACCCCCTGCTCTGGGACAATTCCGGCAAACAATAATGGCATTAAGCAAGGTGCATAACCGTGTTTGGAAGTTGATCCGGGAGGTATACGAGGACCAAAATGAGAAGGCCCTCCACACACACAATATTAGCCCGGGTGATTGGGTTTGGGTAAAACGACACCAATCTAGAGTATTAGAACCTAGATGGAAAGGTCCTTATGTTGTTCTCCTAACCACCCCTACCGCTGTTAAGGTTGACGGGATTGGACCCTGGGTTCACTGCAACCACGTGCGACAGGCCACGCCGGAAGAACGAAATAAGGCACAGACAGAATGGAAGGCAAATGCTCATCCGTCGGATCCCTTGAAATTGAAGCTCACCCGCCGGGAGGTCTCCTAGTCCTCTTGCTGATGGCAGTCATCGTCCATCCTGGAACGACCTACATGGACAATCCCCATTATCCAATCAACATGACTTGGACAGTCTACAGCCCGGAGACTGGGGAATTGATTAACGCGAGCTCGAGTGTGGCCCCTCGGGGAACATGGTGGCCTGTTTTGACCTTTGACTTATGCATCCTGGCAGCCGATAGATACGGGTTCCATGGCCCAAGTCAACTGAGCGATTTTATTGCGAGTCCTCAGTTTGGGACTCTCGGCCTTTTTGACTGGGCCTTTCAGGGAGACACGCCATGCACAAAGCCGAAGCCTGTATATGTCTGTCCAGGGGGGACTCGCGATCGGGCCAGATGCGGGGGAACAGATTCTTTTTACTGCGCCGCTTGGGGATGCGAAACTACCGGAACGGTCCATTGGCTCGCCGATCCCGTCAAGGACCTAATCAAGGTAAAGACACCCCCGGGTTTCCCCCCTTGTAAAACGCTGTCCTCCAAACCTGGGCAATGCTTCCCATTACAAATTGAGTTCACAGATGAGGGAAAGAGATACACCCGATGGGATTTCGGCCGTGCCTGGGGCCTCCGTCTTTACAAAACCGGGTTCGATGATGGGTTCCGGTTTGAACTCAAATTGAGGTCGGGACCATTCTATTCGGCCCCCAAGGTAGCTATGGGACCAAATCAGGTGATAGCCCCAAAACCCCCGGCCACGCGTACGCCACCTGACCCCCATACCAGAAGAACCCCGAAACGTGGCCCTTCTACAGCTAGTTCCCAGGGAACATCCACAGTTAGTCCCGACCCTTCCCCCGGCTGGCCCCAATCTCAAAAGGTGCCTATGACAGATAGTCGGCCTTCCTATGATCCTCTATGGGCTTTAGTAAGTGCTGCTTTTATAACTTTAAATAAACCGGGCTCGGGGCTCTCAGCCTGTGCGCCACTGCGTTGGACACAGCGGGGGCCCTAGCTCGAGCTAGCAATAAACTTCCTTCTTGCGTTTTGCATTGTCTGTTGGTAGCTTTCTCTCTTCCCGCTCGGGGATTCGGACATCGGGCATAACAGTTCCCTCGTCCCAACTCCTGGCCCCTTTGCCCGGCCAGCCTCTGGCCCCAAGCCCCTGCCTTCCCGCCCTTCTGTTGGCCTTTGAGTACCCAGTCCCGCTGCCACTGACCATATTTTTGGGGTCAGCTTCTCCTTCTCTCCCACCCCTCCGGCCCCAAGCCCGCCCGGCAGCTCTGAACCTAGCTCCTCTAGAACGCTCGTACCTCAGACTTCGCCCGGCTGCACACAACCCAGCCTCTTGGGTCGGGTTCCCACCCTGACCAGTCTCCTCGACCCTCTGACTCTTTTGGTCCTCTTCTCTCTCCTTATCCAGCTCCCTTGTTCAGTTAGCAGTTCTTTCACACATTTCCCCTGATATTTCCAAGCTCCCCTCTTTCCTTCCTCTCTCCAAGCCTCGACTTGACCCTTCAACTAAAGGCCCCTGAAACCACTTTCCAGCTTGGTCCCGTCCCTCTAACCCAGGCCCTTGGCCTTCAACATCTCTGATCACCAGCCCCATCTTCTTGGCTCTTACTTGTTAGACCTGGCTTCTTTTCCACTGTTTCAGTCCCTTCCACCTGTGGTCCTGCCTGTACCTCTGAACCTCCTGCGAAGACAAGCGCCATGAGTCCCTTTCTCCCCAAATCTCTGAAATGTGATATGGAAATGCTTCTTTACCTGGCATTGTTTTCTTAGATGGTGGGTTCCCCATCTCTGTCAGTTCCAGTTTTGCTCACCCATCCTGCAAATCCTGACTTAAAGACTACCTTTTCCATGAAGCTGCTTATCCCTGAACTCTTCAGGGAGATATGCCTGTGTCATCAGAACTTCCATGGGACTGTATTTATTACTGGTGTAGCGCTTAAAAGCACTGGCTTTGGAGCGATGGGCATGGCTCCCAGTTCTGCCACTCATTTGCTGTGTGCCCTTGGGCAAATTACAAGTTTCTTGCTTCGCCTGGTACCTAACCTTCTACACTTGTATGACAGTTTCTGGAGTTCGTGGCCCATGACGCTGCACTGTAGCATAAAGTCTTTTAGGGTGGTGACTATAGTCTTAAATCTTATTCAGCCCAGCATTCAGCTCTGGGAAGAGTCGGAGCTTGGTATATTGTGGATTCTCAGTATACTAGGATCAGTAGTGAGTGGAGGCTTTGTAGCTCATTGCATAAAGAGAGCTATTGGAGCCCTAGGTGGGATGGGCAGGAATGGGAGGTGAATTAAGATCATAACCATTCACTCATACTTAAAAAATTTTGAGCACCAGGCCTTGTGCTGGAGACATTACCAAACCAGTCCCTGTCCACAAATTGCTTATAAACTAATAGTGGGAACAGACATGTAAGCAGATAATTGCAGAACACCTTAAAAGCCAGTACAAGATCCTGTGAATGCATAAAGGAGGAAGTGGGCAGAAATTAAGAGATTGCTAAGGAATCGTGGGTGAGAATAGACACAAGTAAGCATGAAATGGGTTGTGGAGACAGGCCTGCTCTTCATTCAGTTTATTTAGCAAATATTTATTAAGGATCTATGTTTGACAGCCACTGCTCTAGGAGTTTGGTTTACATTAATGAATAAAGCAAAGAACCTGGCCCTAATGGGACTCATGTTTTGCAGGGGCAGGCCTATACTAAATGACAGACATAAAGAACAGATCATTAGAAGGTGAGAAGTGCTATGGGGGAACTGAGTGTGGGGGAAGGGGTTATAATTTTTATTTCTAACTTTTTGTTTTGGAGGGGTTGTAATTTTTAAAGGGATGGTCAGGAGACAGTGACTAAGTATCAAGGAATAGTTTCTGACTTATTTATTTTTGCAGTTTTGGAAGTGAAGCAGCCTTTTTTTTTTTTTTAAACATTACTTACCTAGATTCTTGAAAACAAAAAACAAAAACACTCTTTAACAGAGATTGGTAGATTATAGTTTGCTTGCTTTTGTTTGAAATGAAGTTTTGTTAGGATACAGCCACACCCAGTCATTTATGGATTTTCTATGCCTGCTTTTATGATACAGTGGCACAGTTGAGTAGTGGCAGCAGAGATCCCATGGCCCCAAATATTTACTAAATAGATACTCCCTGGTCCTTTACAGAAAAGTTTACTGACCACCCCCCACCCCACTCCTTAAAGGTTTAACATACTGTCCATATTTCACATTTTAGATTATATATACTGTACCATTTTTTAATTGAATGTTTTCCTTTTCTAACAAGATCATGTAAGGAATCTTTTTCATCCTTGCCTTCTTTACAGGGCTAGCATATAATGTCTTCAGCAGTTAATCGCAGCTGTCATGTACTAAATGACTAGTACATGCCACACTTTACACTGAGCATTTGATAGGTGTTTCCTCTCACAGTCCAGCTGTGTCAGTTGGTATCACAATTTTAGTGATACAGGAGTTGAGGCTCAGAGTGTTATGCCCGATGTCCGAATCCCCGAGCGGGAAGAGAGACAATGCAAAACGCAAGAAGGGAGTTTATTGCTAGCTCGAGCTAGGGCCCCCGCTGTGTCCAACGCAGTGGCGCACAGGCTGAGAGCCCCGAGCCCGGTTTTCTACCCATATTTATAGAACATCCAATTTCAAACATAAGCAGGGGTCATTTAGCGAAGCGGATTGGTTACATGTTCGCGGGGGTCTTTTCATTGGTCAGACATTCGCGCGCGCGGGATCTTTCCGTAAACAAGTTCTGATTGGCTGTATCTGGGTGGCCTGATAGTCTCTGACTGGTTGTGTCTTGGTGACCTGATAGTCGCCTTAGTTGCCAGGGTGAGGGCCTGGTCTTCCTGCTTTTGCCTCCTATCATGGCGTTATGTTTGCTCTTCCTACATTCCGTTTGGTCTTCCTACAAGAGTGGTTGAGTAATTTGCAGTTGTAAAGACAGTATATGTCACCATTGGGATCCAGCCCTAAATGTAGTTGGTGTCCCTTCCATTATTCTTTGTTGTTGTTTTCCACAAAGGTTGAAGAATTGCCAGTCTTTCATTCACTGTCATCAGTGTCCCATCATAGCCTGGGCTTCCCTCCCTCATCCCCTTGTTCATGTCACTCTAAAGTATTTCCAACAGTCCACTCTGCCTTTTGAAATGCCATTATTTCCTCAAGGTTCAGAGGAAACACCACTCTCCTCTTATCAGTACTTTCTCCCCCTCATTTGCCGTTCTTGTCTGTAGGAACTCAAAAGGAGTCTGTGCCCCTTAGCAAGCATCTACTGATGTATGCACAAATAGGCCCTGCGCTGGGCACCGTGTGTGGGGGGCGGAGGTGGGGGCATGGGGGCGTATGTGCCTGTGAGACTGTGTGGTGTGAGAGTATAGCTGGGTGTGTGTATGATGTGTGGTTGTGTAGCCATGTATTGGTTCTGTGTATGGGAGGGCTGTGTATGGTGTGTGTGATTGGTACATGTGTGGCTGTGTATGTGTGATTGCATGATATGCACGTGTGTTGTGAGAGTGACTGTGTTTGAGTATGACTGTGTGTTTGGTGAGTATGATTCTGTGTGTGGTATGAGACTGTGTGTGTAGGCACTGCTCTGTGGGGTGTTTGAGTAGAAGTGGGTACTGCCCAATCAGAACAGACACAGTCCAGGCTCTGTAGTGGATCTCGGAGGACCCAGATGTTACCCTTTATTTGTTAGACTATGGTGAGATGTGGGGAAGGGAAGGGTGGTGGAACACTTAAGAGGATTCAGAGCTGGGCCTTGTAAGTGAGTAGGAATTAGAGGTTACTGTTATTTTCAGTTTGAAAGCAAGCAGATAGAGGGATACTTGTAAGGAAGGTTTTTCCAGAAAAGATTAAACAGAATGGGAATTTCAGTTAACTTACATTTAGGCAGAAAAATCAAACTCACCCCCTAATGGACACTCTTGTACTTGCAGGTGAATTAGAGTTTAGACTGTCATGGTTTAGTGTGGTAGTAAGATAAGTGACTTAGCATACATGCATGCATTGGAGAAGGAAATGGCAGCCCACTCCAGTATTCTTGCCCAGAGAATCTCAGGGACAGGGGAGCTTGGTGGGCTGCTGTCTATGGGATTGCACAGGGTTGGACACGACTGAAATGACTTAGCAGCAGTAAGATAAGTGACATTATGCAAATTTCACAAATAACATCTTTTGGGGATGGACAAAGCTGGGGGCCTTCTTTTTGCTGTGGTGGGTAACTTTACATATCTGTAGAGGTTTGTCGCTTGAAAGTTAGTAAAGGCATTCTTCCAAGTATTCCAGTTAATGGAATGAAATGGTTCTTTCTATAGGGATCGTGTACTGGGACAGAATCAAACCAGGATAGAAGATTCCCTGGGGGCTGGCCTGACCCATGGAATAAAGGCGTTGGCCATTTGTGTTCATTCTCAGGGTTCAGAGATGGGCAGTGAGAAGGAGCAGAGCCCAGAACAGCACCTGCCCGAGGAAGGGGAACGGGGTAATAAGCCGTGGAGAGTGGATGACTCCGAGATCCCGGATGGGGACAAAGAGCCTGGGCAAGCAAGCCTGTCAGAGGGGCCACAAGGGCCCCGTCCAGAAGAGCCCGCGCAGGAAGTCGCTGTCTCTGCTGCAGAGCCGGAGGCCCTCTCTGTGCCTCGGAGGCCCGAGGTGGATGAGAAGCCCTTTGTGTGTGTGCAGTGCGGCAAAACCTTCAACAACACCTCCAACCTGAGAACACACCAGCGCATCCACACGGGCGAGAAGCCTTACCAGTGTTCCGAGTGTGGTAAGAGCTTCTCCAGAAGCTCCAACCGGATCCGCCACGAGCGCATCCACCTGGAGGAGAAGCACTACAAGTGCCCCAACTGCGAGCAGAGCTTCCGGCGGCACGCGGACCTCACCACGCACCAGCAGGACCACCTGGGCCGGCGGCCCTTCCGCTGCGACCTCTGTGGCAAGAGCTTCGGCCAGAGCTCGGCGCTGGCCGTGCACTACCGGACCCACCTGGAGCCCGCGCCCTACATCTGCTGCGAGTGCGGGAAGAGCTTCAGCAACAGCTCCAGCTTCGGCGTGCACCACCGCACCCACACGGGCGAGCGGCCCTACGAGTGCGCCGAGTGCGGGCGGACCTTCAGCGACATCTCCAACTTCGGGGCGCACCAGCGGACCCACAGGGGCGAGAAGCCCTACCGGTGCACCGTATGCGGGAAGCACTTCTCCCGCAGCTCCAATCTCATCCGCCACCAGAAAACACACCGGGGAGAGCCGGCTGGGAAAGAGTCTAGCTGAAGCGGGCGAGGGAGAGAGGACAGGGCAAGGGGTCCCAGCCTAGCCTAGAAAGATCTTTAGGATCTGCTGCTGCCCCCTTGACCTCAAGCCCTTCTCCCACTTTGGAGAATGGTTTTTCTGTTGCCTCTGACGCCAGGATCTCCAGGAAGTCAAAGAAGGAATTCTGAGTAAAAATCTTTACATTTTTCCAGGCCAATTTCTTGTGGTAGAAAGTCAGAGGACTCTCTCTTAGTTTCATCTCCTTGGGGTGAAAGAGAAATAGGGTAGGCTTAGTACTTGCTCATATCATTAAGGTGACCGTCCCCTGGCCTTTAAGGAAGTACCTGTGAGATAAGCATCACTGTGTGGAGGGCCTCTGTATTGTATATGGACTGCTTGAGCTTAGGGCGCACTGCAGGGATCCACTAATTCCACCCACTGTGCCTCAACCAGACAGGGGGGAAGGGGCTTCCCAGGCCTGGAGAAGAGGTCTGAGGTCCTACTTTAGGAATGAAAGGGAAACCCTCAAGGAGCCATGATCCAGGGACCTTCACATTCCCTCATGTTTGTGATTCATCATCCCCAGCCCAGCATGCATCTGTTTCCCCAGGAATAGCAGTAAAACCCTTTAATGAAAAGGACCCGTGTACTTATTTGGGGGCTTCAAAGAGGTGGAGAGATGGTCACACTGCCACTACTTTGGAAGGGAGTTGAATTTCAAGAAAGAATGGGTGACTTCTGAAAAGCAAAAGGAAGCCGCTGACTGAGGTCTGTGAGGAGGAAGGGGAGAGAGAGGGAAGTAATATTAATTGAGCATCTGCTGTGTGCCCTAGATCCTGCAGGTCACATTCCCATTCTTTATTTAGTTGCAGCAGCCTGCAAGGGAGTGTGCTGAGGAGACAAGTGGGTAAAGGTGAAATCGCTTGCTGTGAAGCACATTATGGGTATGTTGGTAGAGCCAGGGTGCAGACCTGGGTCTCCCTCGTTTCTGAGCGGATGCTCTTTCACTGCATTCACCTTGTTGGATTCTGAAGGAGGAGCCACTTTGGGAGCTGGCCTGGGATGAGGTGATTTCCTGAAAGTGGGAGCTAGCGTGGCCTCTTGAGACAGCCCTGGACCCTTTGCTCTGTGGGATGTCAGTGGCAAGCATGAGAACCTTTCAACTTTAGATTGATAATAGATTGACGTTATTCTGTACCTAGGAAATATGACTGTAACTTGGAATAGGGACTGAGGGGTGGGACAAGGTGAACTTAGAGAGTCTTTGCCCTTAGTAGCAGCAGTTTAGTTCCTAAGGTTGGGACAGCTTGGTAGAGGTCAGGCCTGGCTTCCTGCCCTTCTGAAGGCCTGGCTCCATGTGGCAAGCTTTCAGTCTTTTCTGCATTAAAGTTTATAGAGTTCACCCAGATTTCCTCCAACAAATACAAAAGACCCCCATCTCTGGCCACTCTGGGGTTCAGTTCTTCCAGAGTGAGGAGCCTTCTTCATCTGTCGCCAGCTGGCAGAATGTGACTGGCGCAGCTGATGACCTGACCTACTACAATGGGATCCTCCCACCCACCCAGGAGGGGATGTGCCTTTATTTTTTCTAACCATAAAACATGACTTCCAAACAATTCCCTGATATTTGTAGGGTCCTTTTCAGTTTACAAAGCACTTTTATTTCATATACATTTTCCTGCTCCTTGAAAATCTTCATACAAGGTATTTTAAACATATAGTCACCCAACTTGTATGTATAAATTGCTTCCTAATAATAGAAGTTGCCAGGGGCTTCCTGGCTGTACAATGGTTTAAGACTACTTCCACTGTAGGGGCTGCGGGTTTGATCCTGGCCGGGGAGCTAAAATCTCACATGCCACGTGGCCAAAAATAAAACAGAAGTTGCCATCTAACACCTACTGAGTGCCAGTTATTTCTGATCTGCACGACTAGCCTGCAAAATAGCAGTATCCCCATTTTGAAGATAAGGAAATTCTGAAGGGTTAAATGACCTGACTTAATGGCTGAGCTGGGATTCCAGTTAGGCCAGCTCTTCATTTTTGCTCATTACCAAGCTAGGTCTGCTGGTCTCCTCTCAGTGTGGGGAGCTTGGTAACATTAACCTTCCAGGCCCAGAGCCTTAGTGACAACTGCTATGACTTGGAGTCTTGCTAGGACCTGCTTTGAGCTTGCCTGCCCATCTCATTTGCCCCTTTCCGACCAAGTTTATAGGCTATGTTTTCAGTGTTGATCCAGGCTATTGAGTTCTGATTAGTCCATTTATTCACTCTCTGATTTCCTTTTTTGCTAACTTCCTTTATTTTCTTCTTCATTCCTTTTTCCTCTTCCCATCTCTCTTTCCCCTCCTCTCTTTCCTCCCTCCCCACTCTCTTCCTCTCTCTCCTAGTTACTAGGAGTACTGACAGTGAAGACGTGGCTCCTGTATTCTCTACAGTGGGGTGGCTGCCAGGTTTCAACAGCAGGCAGACCTGGAAGGGTGGGGCTCCCATCAACTCCTGGCACTTGATCCTGGTGTGCTGACCACCCACAGGCTTCCTGCCCCTGCACTGAATTCACATGAAGCTCCTTCCCCTCCCATCAGCCTTTTGCCTGCATGCAACTCAGTTCTTTCCACCAACATTTATGAAGCAGCTATTACATGTCAGGAAGCAGGGAGTTCTCCCTGCCTCACCTAAGGCAGTTCTAACTGGATGCCTGAGAGGGTCTGGAGCAGGGAAGGGATATTGTGGGTAGGTGTGGAGAAGGGAAAAGCTGAGCATGCATAGCCTATGTACAGGCCCTCTCTTCCCTCAGCACTGGAGGACCTTGACCCCTGAACTCTCTATGATAGGAAAGATCTTAGGGGCATCAACAGCCATAGACAGAGCTCCTGGGTCCCAACTCCTGTTGGGATAGGCAGTCACCTCTGGTCTCCTTATGCTCTGAAGTTCCGGGTTCCTTCTGCTATGAGATCCCAGATGAAAGCAGAGACCCACATGTACCTTTACCTGCAGGTCTTGCCACCTAACATCCAGTACTCCTTGGAATAAAGTCGTTTTCCCAGTCTCTAGTCCACAGACATCAACCCATTATGATTTGGGTAACACTACTTCTTTCCCATTTAGTCTCACAACACCATAGCGCAGGCAAATTACAAGATTGCTTTTGATGGAGCCTAGAAGATAGGTCTGGAACCAGTTCTACGCAGGTTTGGGTATTGGGAAATAGTGATTATAACAGCATTTACTATTGATCCTAATTTCTAAGTCTTCATAATTCTGCAAGGTAATTATTATTTTCGTTTTGCTGATGAAGAAATCGAGGTTCAGTTAGATTAAGTAATTTGCCCATTTAAGGTCACATGGCCATTAGGTGGCTCACCTGGGATTTAACCAACCCAGAGCTGGTACTGAGGCCTTCTTCTTAATGACTACGTGGTAATTAAGCCTTGCTCCCTGGACCCCCACTCCCTGTCAGGTCCCACTACTCCTTAGAGTGGGCCTATCCCAGAAGGATGTTCTTTCACATCTCTGTCATGGTTATTCGGCTTGGCCTAGGAATTGATGTTCCTGGAGAAGATGGGGTGTACTGAGCTGAGGCCAGGCTGCTGAGGGTAAGGTCTGAACAAGAACAGGGATCAGCTGGAGCCCTGTGAGGCTCCTCCTGGTTTTCCCTCCCCCATGGGGTGTCTTCTGGGCAGTACAGCATCTTGCTCTAGTCCCCAGGGTGATTTGGGACCCTGGGACAACCGGGGCTTGCTCTTCCTCTTCATCGGACACTGCGAAGCTGCAGGACTTTCTCTTTCCCCTGCTCTGGGACACTGCCCAGGGCCTCAGCTTCCTGCCCTGAGGCTCCCACTCGGGGTTTGATTTTCACCAACCCCAGTGTGAGACAGCAGACCAGGGTACAGCCTGCAGAGCTCCTTCACCTGCAGTAGCAGGCCAGTGATGGGGGGAGGGAGGAGCCTCCAGGAAGAGGTGAAAAGAACGACCACTTTACCCTTCAGAGTTCTTGCCTGAGACGCATGGCACAAAAGACAGATGAACAGGAGAAAAACAAGTTTATTCATGTGTATATCTCACAAACCTGAGAGGCACGCAGGGAAAATGAGTTAACTCACCCAGGTGGTCTAATGTTCAGTTGTGTCCAACTCTGCCACCCCATGTAGCCCACCAGGCTCCTATGTCTGTGGGATTTTCCAGGCAAGAATACTGGAATGGGTTGTCATTTCCTCCTCCAGGGTATCTTCCCGACCCAGGGATCAAATTCACATCGCCTGCATTCTTTACCACTGAGCCACCTGGGAAGCCCTATGTGGCCTAAACCAGCAGTTTAAATACCATCTTTAGCCAAAGGAGAAATAAAGGTGAGGATGAGTAAGCCAGTTATGGGGAGGTTGCCAGGAAGAGCAGGATAAACAAGGGTAAGGTTTGTTATGCAGATTAAAGTCTCTGCCTTCCCCATTAGTAAGATTCTGTTACTGTTCAGTTGTTTTCTCCTAGGGCAGTGAGGGAGACACCCTAACAAATAGAGATTTCCTTTATAAGTGTAAATTTCCCTTTCAAAAGAAGTCATTCCTACTCTGTTTTTCTGAGTCATTTCTTCAGACTGTGGGAGACTGGCACTTGAACCCAGAGTTCCAAGGCAGGATGGTAGGTGTCATTTACAGTTGTTCCCAGGGGCACGTTGGGAGCAGCCCCGGGGAGGGCCCTAACCTGGCCTGTATTGGACATTGGCCCCAGGAGTGAATAGGACAGTCCTTCCTGCTAGGAACTCAGAGGAACGGAAACTCCCTTCTGAACAAGGTACTGGGGGAACACAGGCAGGATGCCTAACTTCCCAGGAGAGGAGAAGGCTGAGAGGATTGAATCTGGTCTTGGAGAATGAGTGGGTGTTTACTAGTTAAAGAAGAGGAAGGCTATTTCCGATAGAAGGAAAGCTTTAGTGTTTTAGGAACAGTGAAACATTTGAGGTAGTGAAGATTGTCCTGGGTGAGGAGATGAGGTTGGTAAGGTAGTCGGGGACTGGGTCCTGAAGGACCAAGAATTTATCCAAGAATTAGGATAAAGAATTTCAGGTTGTGGACAGTAGAGAATTTTAAAGCCAAGAGATTGTATGATCACATTCATGCCTGAGGTTCCTGTGGTCTGTGCAATCCTCTGTGTCAACAAAAAATTAATCAGGTGATCTAAGAAAGAAATGGAAAATTTTATTTGAGCCATACTGAGGATTATGACTCAGGAACAGTCTCTCAGAAAGCTCTGAGAACTGTTCCACCCATTAGAGGTCAAAGCAAAGTTATATAAATTTTTGAGACAGAAGGTTGTACATTAAGTGTTATTGACAGTTTACACAATCCAGGTCTGTGCATACAAAGCAAGCAGTGGGCCATGGGTCCTCATGGCCATTCCAAGATGAAGAAGGAAGGTTATCTCCTAAGAAGTTATAACCCTTGATGAGATTAAGAAGAAATGTTATCTCCGAATGAGGTCTGGTCAGTGCAGGTGCATAACACACAGTAAAGGGGAGGGAGGAGGAGAAAATAAAAATTTTATTTAAAATTTTGTCTTACCATAAAATATACATTTTATTTCATCACTTGTTTTGTCCCCATTTGCTTTATCACAGAACTAAGCACCTTCATGAGTTCCCTGGGAAGTTCTGTCATATCAAGCATTGTACAGCTAGAATCCCTTCGAGAGACTGGGAATCTTGGGGAGGGGTCTCATCAGGGCGTGGGACTAACTTGCTCTTTTTTCCTCCCATCGCTGTCCTTACCCCTTCTCTCTCAGATTGCTATGGAAACTCCAGGTCGTTTTACTCTATTATAAAAAAGCTGTTCAGCTCTCCTCAGCTTCTGATAATAATTTGTATATGCAAACACATCAAGGGACTCAGCAGAACAAAGGCCTCACCCTTTAACAGTGGTACAGTTCAGTCACTCGGTCGTGCCCAACTCTTGGCGACAGTGGTACATCCATCCCCAAAAAGCAGTTGTAAAAGAAATCCAAACAACAAATATCCTGGAAGATTTGTAAAGCATGCAAACATATTAAAGCTTCAAGATAGTCGTGTGAGCACAAGTGGTTGTTCCCACTTCTTTTTGAGATCCCCATTAAAAGGACAGAATAGGAATATAAACACCTAACAGCAAAGAGAATGGCAGGGAGATGGGGTGGCTGGTGAAGCAGTGTCAATACATTTCTAGAAGTGGATGACAACACACTGGTGGCTCAGCAGAGTGGAGGAAGCCATGGCCCAGAAGGTAGGTGATGGACGTGACAGCCAGTCTTCCTGGAAAGATCCCACAGAGGCTCTGAGTTCATAACCAGCAAGTACTGAGGACAGACATGAAAAGTGGACCTAAAAATGAGGGCATTGGTAGAAGGTCTTTCTGTGTAGAAAGACCTACCCCTCAACCTTCAAAATGGAGAGTGATTGGCACTTACCTTCAGACAAGCAACACACCACACACAGCCAAACCAAGAGGGATCATTCTACGGAAATCCAGTAAGTCCCTAGGAGGAATCTAGGGTGTTTAATGCGGTATTGACATCTCAGAATAAAACTTGTTATTCTGACATTTACAAGCCCCCGTCTATGGGGTCGCACAGAGTCGGACACGACTGAAGTGACTTAGCAGCAGCATAAGCCCCCCACCCTTCCCCACCAAGAATCACCCGAACACTCACCCTGTAGTAATTCCTGACAGAAAACCCTACTGCCGAAGTCCTTCATGGTCCAGCTCAGGGAAGCAGACAGCAGCAGGGGAAACATACAGCAACAGAAAAAACCAACACAATTACTGAGCTCGTTGGTCTGTTATTCTATAAACACATAACCAGCAGCACCAGAATTATAAAGGCAGTTCAAAGCATGAGAGACAACAGAAACAGAGTAGGTGACTCCAGGCAACAGAAAGTTACAATGGCATAGTGGAATCATTTGTAAAAAATTGGTTATAGTTAACTGGTTTCAGGTATACGTTGGTTTCAGGTATACAACAGTGATTCGGAATTTTTACAGATAATACTCCACTTAAAATGATTACATTGGTTATATTCTCTGTGCTGTACAATATATCCTTGCACTTCATTTTATACGTGGTAGTTAGTAACTTGGTCCCCAACCCTATCTTGTCCCTCTCTCCCCCCACTGGTGACCACTAGTTTGCTCCCTATTTCTATGAATCTGCTTCTGTTTTGTTATATTCATTCATTTTACTTTTAAAATCTCACATATAAGGGATAACAAAGTATTTGATTTATTTCACTAAGCATAATACCTCCAGGTCCATCCATGTTATTGCAAATAGCAAAATTTCATTCTTTTCATGGCTGAGTAATAGTCCATTGTATGTGTGTGTGTGTGTGTGTGTATATATATGTATATATACACATATATATTTATACATATATATATATATATATATGTGTGTGTGTGTGTGTGTGTGTACACCACATCTCCTTTATTCATTCATCTGTTGAGGGACACTTGGCTTGTTTCCATATCTTGGCCATTGTAAATAATGTTGCTATGAGCATTGAGATGCATTTATCTTTTTGAATTAGTATTTTTGTCTTTTTTTTTGGCTATATATCCAGGATGGAATTGCTGGGTCATAATGGTAGTTCTATTTTTAGTTTTTTGAGAAAGCTTATTGTTTGCCATAGTGGCAGCACTAATTACATTCCCACCAACAGTGTACAAGTTTCCTTACTCTCCACATTCTCTCCAATGTTTGTTATCTGTGGTCTTGTTGATGACAGCCATTCTGACAGGTATGAAGTGATATCTTGTGGTTTTAATTTCTTTGATGAGTAGTGGTGTTGAACATCTTTTCATATGCCTATTGGCCATCTGCATATCTTCTTTGGAAAAGTGTGTAAGTCTTCTGAACATTTTGAAATTGAGTTGTTCATTGGTTTGATGTGGAGTTGTATGAGCTGTTTATATATTTTTGATATTAACACCTTATTGGACATATAACTGCTGGGAGAAATATCAATAACCTCAGATATGCAGACAACACCACCATTATGGCAGAAAGTGAAGAGGAACTAAAAAGCCTCTTGATGAAAGTGAAGGAGGAGAGTGAAAAAGTTGGCTTAAAGCTCAACATTCAGAAAACTAAGATCATAGCATCTGGTCCCATCACTTCATGGGAAATAGATGGGGAAGCAGTGGAAACAGTGTCAGACTTTATTTTGGGGGGCTCCAAAATCACTGCAGATGGTGATTGCAGCCATGAAATTAAAAGACACTTACTCCTTGGAAGGAAAGTTATGACTAACCTAGATAGCATATTTAAAAGCAGAGACATTACTTTGCCAACAAAGGTCTGTCTAGTCAAGGCTATGGTTTTTCCAGTGGTCATGTATGGATGTAAGAGTTGAACTGTGAAGAAAGCTGAGCGCCAAAGAATTGATGCTTTTGAACTGTGGTGTTGGAGAAGACTCTTGAGAGTCCCTTGGGCTGGGTGTTCATTGGAAGGATTGATGTTGAAGCTGAAACTCCAATACTTTGGCCACCTCATGTGAAGAGTTGACTCATTGGAAAAGACCCTAATGCTGGAAAGGATTGGGGACAGGAGGAGAAGGGGACGACAGAGGATGAGATGGCTGGATGGCATCACCGACTCAATGGACATGGGTTTCGGTAGACTTTGGGAGTTGGTGATGGACAGAGAGGCCTGGCGTGCTGCGGTTCATGGGGTTGCAAAGAGTCGGACACGACTGAGCGACTGAACTGAACTGATGGACATATAATTTGCCAATGTTTTCTCCCATTTACTAGGTTGACTTTTCATTTTGTTGAGGTTTCCTTTGCTGTGCAAAAGCTTTTAAGTTTAATTAGGTGCCATTTGTTTATTTTTTCTTTCATTTCCTTTGCCTTAGGAGATCCCAAAAAATACTGCTGTGACTTCTGCTTATGCTTTCTTCTAGGAGTTTTTGGTTTCTGGTTATACATTTAGGTCTTTAATTTATTTTGAGTTTACTTTTCCACATGATGTAAGAAAATGTGCTAATTTCATTCTTTTACATGTTACTGTCCAGTTTTCCCAGCACCACTTATTGAAGAGACTGCCTTTCCCATATTGTGTATCCTCACTTTGTTAAAAATTAATTGATCATAAAGGCGTGGGCTTATTTATGGGCTCTCTGACACAATAGAATCTTTAAAAACTCTAGAGATATCCTCAGGGAGATCTGACAAGATACTACCTCTATAGAACAAGAAGGTTGCTAGTGGAAAGAGACCAACTGGAAAATCGGAAACAGCTTTTGGATATTAAAATTGTGTGCTAAGTCGCTTCAGTCGTGTCTGACTGTTTGCACCCTATGGACTGTAGCCTGCCAGGCTTCTGTGTCCAAGGGATTCTCCAGGCAGATACTGGAGTGGATTGCCATTTTCTCCTCCAGGGGATCTTCCCAACTCGAGATCAAATCCACGTCTCTTACGTCTCCTGCGCTGGCAGGAGGGTTCTTTACCACTAGCACCATCTGGGATGCCCTTATGGATATTAAGCATATGATAGATAAGATATTCAAGAAACCACTTGGAAGATAACATCAAGAAAAGCCCCTAAAATATAAGGCAAAAATACAGAGATAGAGAAAGAGGAAATAAGTGACAGAGAAGATCAACTTCTTATGATGAAGACTGCTGAGTGTTCTCCAAAATCTGTCCTATTTTATTTGGAGCACTTAACTAGTATTTCCCAGTCTCCTTTGCCATTAGGTGTAATCCTCTCATTTAAGTTCTTGCCAGTGGAAAATGAGCAGAAATGGTACATGACATTCCTCAGCACTCAGGAAGGCACTCAGGAAAGCAGGCATGCCTTTACATCATTTTCTTTCCCTTTTTCATCAGCTGTAACCTGCAGGAATCCAACTTTGATGGTTGCAGACTATACAATGTCCTAGTGTGGATTTGCCAGATAAAACACAGGACATCAAGTTAAATTTTAACTTCAGATAAACAATGAATCATTTTTAGTTGGATGCACATTTCACAGCTGTTAATGAGACAGAAACACATTTTTTTTTTTTGGTACTCCAAACCACTGTGTTGTTTGGTCTTTTTATTACAGCACCCTAATCTTTCATCCTGATATTTACAGGTGAGTTTCTGCTCTAATAAGACTGTGGCTCATTATACTATGTATGATGTCTTACTCTTGCCATTGGTCATTTCTCCTCCACATTTTAGCATCTCTAAAGTTAAAATACATCCAATAATTGATGCTGTTTTAGATAAAATAAAATACCATATTATAAGAAAGAGAGGAGGCCATGATCTCAGCAAGATAGTGGAATAGAAAGTCCCAGGTATCAGTCCTAAACTGAGACGCCAACTTAACAACAATGTATGGACCAAAGTACCTTTTTTGAGAACTCAGAAACCCACAAGCAAGCACAGCTCAACTTGGGTTGTTTTTCTGGGGTTGGGATGAGAGTGGGAAGAAGAGTGGAATATGCATGCAATGTGCTGGTTTTTCAGAGGGCTGCTCAAGGGACTAGTTTCTGTTTCACTAGATTTGCGATACTGATGGGGAGCCAAAAATACTTAAGGTGCCACTGAGCACAACATACTTTGTGATCCTGCTAGGTGAGGTGGCTTTAGTTCACTTCAGTCACTCAGTCGTGTCCAACTCATTGCAACCCCATGGACTGCAGCACGCCGGGCCTCCCTGTCCATCACCAACTCCCAGAGCTTACTCAAACTCATCTCCATTGAGTCGGTGATGCCATCCAACCATCTCATCCTCTGTTGTCCCCTTCTCCTCCCGCCTTCAATCTTTCCCAGCATCAGGGTCTTTTCCAACGAGTCAGTTCTTCACATCAGGTGGCCAAAGTATAGGAGTTTCAGCTTCAGCATCAGTCGTTCCAATAGATATTCAGGACTGATTTCCTTTAGGATGGACTGGTTTGATCTCCTTGCTGTCCAATGAGCTCTCAATAGTCTTCTCCAACACCACAGTTCAAAAGCATCAATTCTTTGGTGCTCAGTTTTCTTTATGGTCCAACTCTCACATCCATATATGACTGCCGGAAAAACCATAGCCTTGACTAGATGGACCTTCCTTGGCAAAGTAACATCTCTACTTTTTAATATGCTGTCTAGGTTGGTCATAACTTTTCTTCCAAGGAGCAAGCATCTTTTAATTTCACCATCTGCAGGGATAGTAGAACCAGAGAACGTTCAGTACCACAGACAGACACCAGAGGGAGCAAGAGATTGCAAAAAAAAAAAAAAAACCACGAAAAGAAACCAGCATGTGCCTGCATGCTAATTCGCTTTAGTTGTGTCCGACTCTTTGCAACCCTATGAACTGTAGCCTGCCAGGCTCCTCTGTATATGGGATTCTCCGGGCAAGAGTACTGGAGTGGCTTGCCATGCCCTTCTCCAGGAGATCTTCCGGACTCAGGGATCAACATACTTTGTGATCCTGCTAGGTGAGGTGGCTTGATGCTGTAGCACCAGTAAACTTTCAGTGGCCACAGACAGACACCAGAGGGAGCAAGAGATTATGAAAAAGAAACCAGCAGCCCCCTCTAATTGGAAAATTTGCTGCACAAGGTCGGAGAAGTTGTATCCACTGAAAATGTTTTCAGAGATCCCCAGAACTCTAGTGTGGCTAACTATTAAAGGTCTTCCTCTGAATGAAGCCAGTCCATTAAAACAATCAGGAATATGACGCATGAACAGAAGGAGGATACCAACAAAGAGAAACTATAAAAAAAGAACCAAATTCTGGAGCTACAGAATGTAATTAAGTGAACTGAAATCTTTTTAGAGGGGTTCAACAGCACACTTGATCAAACAGAAGAAAGAATCAGCAAACTCAAAGGTCATTTGAAATTATTTAGAGTCAGAGGAACAACACCAAAAAAGAAAAGTGAAGAAAAGCTAAGGGACTTATGGGATAACACAGAGTAAACCAATATATGCATTATGGGAGTTCCAGAAAGAGAAAAGGACAGAGAGCATGTTTGAAGAAATAATGGGCAAAAATCTCCCCAAACTGATAAAGACTGGTGTTAATTCTTCTTTAAATACTTCATAGAATTTTCCTATGAAGCCATCTGGTCTTGGACCTTTTCTTGTTGGGAGCATTTTGATTATAGATTTAATCTCCTTAGTAGTCATTGGTCTGTTCAGATTTTCTATTTCTTTGTGATTCATCTTTGATACACTGTATGTTTCCAAGAATTTATCCATTTCTTTTAGGTTATACAATTTGCTGGCACATAATT